CACACACACAAAAAAAACCGTATCTTTTCCAATACCGGGCATGTTTGTCACCGCCATTTCCTCATAAAGTCAGTATTTTATTTTTCTTTATCCGCCGTTTTCTCAAAACGCGACTTTTCTCTATACCTCTTTGAATAACTCCACCATTTTTCATCCAATCTTCACGACATTTTTACAGAATGAAGAGAAGATGTAATACTAAAAATTTGTTAGTTGAATTTTTGATATATGAAATAGATTTTTGTTGGTGGGGTCTGAAGTGTGAGTTTTTACGGATTTTTTGAAAACTTGAACGCTACCTTAGAAAAAAAAACTCATTAAAAATTTTCGAATTTGTTTAGGAAAAAAACAACGTACAAATTTTTAGATCTAATGTTTGTGAACACACATGTAAAAAAACATTCAATTTCCATGAGCGATACGTGCGGTATTCATTACGTAAGACATGTCAACAAAATCCAATATCGCCGCCGTTTCCATGGAAACAAAACTTTTTCTCAAATTTGATTGTGGATTTAAAGACTCCTTACTATGCTTGTTATATGTGTGAAATTTGGTAAAATTCGGCCCAGTAGTAAGCGAGATAGCCTTCAGGTGTAGCCCCCCCCTTAAAGCAGTACTTAGTATGGTTTAGATGACGTATTTTACTGATCTTTTTCTTGTTACTAATCAGATGATTTACCTCGATCGGCATTGACAAACTGAAATTAAAACAAAAGTCAAGATCTTTAACTTCTCTTGAAAATACAGTTCCCGCATAACCAATTTTCATGAGATATACCCTTATTGATATGCCTTGGAACGAGTGAAGGTTCATCAGAAACTGCAAGTGGTATTTTTTTCGCCACTATTACTTTGCGTAATTTTATTCTTCTCGAGTAACCTAACCTTTTCCCCAAAATGCCGTGCATTGTGAATCAGTTGAACGTCGCACATATGAAACGCCAGTCCCACATTGTGTTTTAAAGAATATCTTTCTCAAAGTAAGAAAATCAAAAAATAATTATTTCAGGCCAAGTAACAGAAGACCTATAAGTATTTATTTTTACCAAAGTTTATAATCGAAGGAAAGGTCATCCATTTTACTGTAGTCGCTTACCTTTTTTTGAATAGTTTATTGATGTCTGCTGCTCACTCAAGCAGAGAAGCGTTTGGAGGGTGCTCTGGTGTGGTTTCCTCCTTCTCTCTTAACAAACATCTACCGTTCTGATCTCTCTTCCTTCTTTTTTATTTTGGTACTCTCTTGTAACACGTCTTTGTCCAATCTTCGACCCTTATATGACCATTTGTGTTATAAGTGCCAAGTTAAACTCTTACTAAAACTAAAGTAACTCAAGTTGTGTTCTGTGACAGGGAGAACGGTTCCGAAATGATGATCCGTCAAAGTTGCAGTTGGATCATTACACGAAATCCGGCAGTGTCACAGGTTTGCAACTATTGTATCCAGAAATGTGTCATAAGTTGAATATTAGGGTAAACAATGAGCAGTTGAGGCGACACTTGTAGAATCACTTGAGCAGTCCTGAGCAGACAATGGCTGTGTGTCTGAGCGTCACAAGTAGACGTATCCTGACTGGGTGAGTCGCTCCTCTCGCCCTGGGGTCCCTTGTGAGGAGACTGATGCACGTTTGGGATGGTGGTTTTGTTTAACCCCACTGCTTTTGTCTTGTAATCAGTGTTTTTCTTCATCAGATTTTGTCGTTGCCGTTGTTTTTGTTGTTGTTGCTGCTGCTGCTGTTGTCGTTGTTGTTGTTGTTGTTGTTGTTGCTGCTGCTGTTGTTGTTGTTGTTGTTATTACTGCTGTTATTGTTGCTGTTGTTATTATTATCATTATTGTTGTTGTTGTTGTTGTTGTTGTTGTTGTTGTTGTTGTTGTTGTTGTTGTTGTCTTCTTCTTCTTCTTCTTCTTCTTCTTCTTCTTCTTCTTCTTCTTCTTCTTCTTCTTCTTCTTCTTCATCATCATCATCATCATCATCATCATCATATTCTTCTTCTTCTTCTTCTTCTTCTTCTTCTTCTTGGGGGCTCTCGTGGCCTAGAGGTTAAGGTGTTGGCCTCTCATTCAAAGGTCCCGGGTACGAATCTGGGTAGCGACCGAAATTTTTTTTCTCTAAATTTGCCTCCTTTCACCTCCTTTCCTGCTCTCTAGCAATATTCTGTCGTCTGCTTTCGTCTCCTCTTTCTTCCCCCACCCCCTCACCTCCTTTGCCCCCTCCTCTAGGCTCCTGACTCTTTCTGCAGCCTTTCTACTGCTACTCCTTGACTCCTTCTTACAGCTGTCTTTCTGCCACACCCCTGATCTTCTGGTAGAAAAGATCTACACCTAGTCTTCTCGGACAAGGGCAAAAAATCTCGGAGGGCCCGTGTGCAAGTTGCGCACGTTAAAGATCCCTTGATGGTCTAAATTCGATAAGAGTAGGCTTCGGCCGCCCCCCGGGCAAAATTCTAAATTTCCTACCAACTGAAAAAAATTTAATGTGTCCCGCGCGCTCATATGACCTTATGCAGTTGCGAGCGCCGTAAAAACACTTTCAAAAACAAACAAACAAATAAACAAACAATTCTTCTTCTTCTTCTTCTTCTTCTTCTTCTTCTTCTTCTTCTTCTTCTTCTTCGAGGTAAAACTGAACGCTAGAGTTGTAAAACATGTTGTTATTACTATGCATTTACAATAATGAGTAAGTTATAACAACAAACTATAATCGTAACGACCTACCTAACGAGTTATTTAAGAGATTATGGTAAAAAGAATGAGACACTTTCAAGTTTTTTTCAGACCACTAATATATGGACCAATGTGTTGGTAAAGTTGAATACTAGAATAGCAAAGCAATATAATAAGAGTTGGTTGTTATTGCTATGCATTTACAAATATGAGTAATTTATAACAAAAATTGAATTGTATAAAGACCAACGAATCAGGTTATTTAAGAGATTACGATAAAAGTGAAAAAGACTCTCAACAGTTTTTCCAGATTACTAATACTGTTCGAACACAGTTTAATATGGAGAAAATTGTTGGTGAAATAGAACTCTAGAATTGTAAAACACTATAAGAGTTCGTCGTTATTATTATGATATACAAAAATTAGAAGGTTATACCATCAAAGTAAAAGTGTAACGAATGACGTAACAAAGCAATTGAAAAGATTAGAAGAAAAAGAATGAGACTATTTGCAATTTTTAAAAAGATAATACTGGGGTATGAAGAGGGTTTAATATGGACCAATGTTTTAATATAGTTGAATACTGGAGTTGAAAAACACTATAAAAGTAAGTTGTTATTACTATGCATTTACACAAATGAAAAGGTTACTACCTCAAATTTAAAGTGTAAAGAACGACCCAACACATTATTTAAGAGATTAGGATAGAAGGGAATGAGACTGCTTCCAGTTTTTTTCCAGATCACTAAGAAGGTTTGAAAACAGTTTAATATAAACTAAAGTGTTTGTAAAATTGAACTCTAGAGTTTAAAAAAACCCAGAAGAGTTGGTCGTTGCAACGATGCATTTACAAAAATGAGTAATTTATAACAACAATTTAAAAGTGTAACAACCGACCCATCAAGTTATTAAAGAGATTATGAGACTATTTGAAGTTTTTAAAGATGACCAATAATGGTTTGAAGAGGGTTTAATATTGACCAAAGTGTTGGGGAAAATTGAACGCTAGAGTTGTAAAACACGATGAGAGTTGGTTTTTATTACTATGCCAAAAAAAACAAACACCTTCAGGCCAAAGTCTTTGATATAAACTCAGCCATAATTGAATTTGGCCCTTTTAAAATCTCAATACACAATGAAGAGTCAAACAATTTCTAGCCCACGGCTCTTATCAGCAAGCCTCACACGTTTCCCAAAACAACAATAAACAAAGATCAACCGTCCCCCTCAGGCTCTGTCAAAAATACAAACAACACAAGGGGGAAAATATTTGAACTGAAAGATGTTAATACAAACTTGGCTGTCCTTAAATTGTTCGCTCCTTCATTGCAATACATAATTGATATCCAAACATTTTTCAAATAAGTAACTTTTATTGTGGTGAATCGGGCGCGTTATGTTTCGCCGCAAATGACGCAACAGAGGACTACCTGTCGAAGTCTGAAACTTGTTTCGCCGCAAATCGTATTCGAATACAAGTTACTTACACCAAAGATAGTAAATAACAAGATGGGCCACTCAGCCAAAAAAGTGTCCGCAAGAAGTATGCTCTTTGCTTCAGATGGCGCTGCAGTCTGTTTTGAAGCTCTCTTTCGTTTTCCCAGAAGAAGAATAGGAATAGCACCTCCTTGCGTGCGCAGATCGACTGCTGTTCATCAGCAGTTCGGGTTCGTTCAGTACGGAGTTTTAGTTTTTTTTTAATTTAATGACCTCTCGCCTTTCATTCTAAAGTCAAATTAAACGAAGAAAACAATCACCCTTTCCTCTGGAAGAGGTTTTTTGTCAGCGTAGCCATTTTTAAAAAGCGTTCTTCCGGAATTCATTCAAAAACTTGCTAGTTTCACTCAAGTGGGATAACTCTGTTCGCTAAAGGTGCGCTTTTGCGAAGAGGGCGCCACCGAATTTTGAGGACACTTTTTTAATTGGCACAAAGAGAGAAGTGGCCCCTCTTGTTATGTAGACTCTTTGCTTACACAGAAGATTGAGAAGATCGATTACTTTGTGAACGCCCCTGAAACAAAATTTGTAAACGCACCTACCGTGTCAATGAGAACGGGAGGGGTGAACTGTTATAACGACTCAATTTCTTCCCTTCTTCTTTTATTTTAAGTACCAGTCTCGTTCTTGCTCATTCCCACTCTTTCACATGAAGAATGGCCACCCAGTTTGAAAAAAAAATTAAGTAAGTGTGTAGTGTGTTGTTTTGTTGAAACGACTATAAATTCTCCTAGTTTTGGCAAGTAGAATCACTTTCGGTCGACATGGAGCAAGAACTAACTACGTACGTTACGAAAAGGGGACACCAAGCTGTTGAAGTTTCAGGATTCAAGTTTCGTTTGGACAAGAATCAACAAAACAGCAAAAGGTGGAAATGCGTTACTGAAACATGCAAGGCGAGATGCACAACGGACAAAGACATGAAACACATTCTGGTGGGGCTTTTTGAGCACAACCATTTTTAAAAAACAACTTTGGATTTTTACAACGACTCTGGAGCTTAGACATCATGCCTCTATATAAACCCATCCTGCTCAAATAAATTGCAAACGGCCCCTATCAGGCTGTTATGTAATTATATAAACATATCCTGCCGCAAGTCCTACTTCCACGGTAGTCCCCCTGTTGCATCATTTGCGGCGAAACCTAACGCGCCACCACCACCACCACCACTACTACTACTACTACTACTACTACTACTACTACTACTACTACTACTACTACTACTACTACTACTACTACTACTACTACTACTACCCTC